CGCTTTCGGCATTCATCGATCTTCGAGGATTATTTTCGGCGAGACCCTGGGGCCAGTCAGCCTGCCAGACTTTTACAAGGTTTTGCATGAAAAAAAAAAAGATGAAGACGAAGACGAAAACGAGAAAGGAAGAAAAGAAAAAAAACGAGAGAACTGACCAAGTAGGCTGGATGGGCGAGATGTCGGTGCCTATAACGTGTGTGGCTGGATATGCACTGTCTGCAGCGTAAGTACGAGAAAACCTCATCACCCGGAAGCAAAAGGAAAGGGGAGACGAACTCTGCAACGTCCAGGGCCCAGATGCCTGAATGCGAAGGTCAGTATAACCAATCGAGAGCAAAGAAGAAGAAGATAAGAGGCTTTACCTGTGCCTGTGCCGACATCGAGTATTCGTTTTGGCTCCTCTGATATAGGCGCAAAGATGAGCCGCCCGCCAAAGAGCATGCCGTATATATGCTGCAGGAAGTCATGGCGATCCGACTCGGCCTTGGGGGTTGTTAGAAAAGCACAACCAACAAGAAGGGGAACACTGACTTCATCATTGGGTAGACAGTATCGTCCTTCTCTGAACGAGGCGTAACGCCGTCCGTTCCTGTAGACGTAGCTAGTGATGCTAGAGGTCAAGCTCTGTAGTGAATGTTCATCGCTATTTACGGCCGTTAGAGATGATGAAAACAGATACATAGCAAGAGGAAGAAGACGAAGACGCAGAGAGCGAGCGAGCGAGCGAGCGAGAGAGAACTGACCTGTCGCTTCCGACGGCCGAGTCGCTGTCGTCAAACTCGTCCTCGTCGTCGACTGCCAGCTGCGGCACCTGGTCCGGCTCAGGCTGGCGGACAGGCGAGCCAGGCGAGGACGAGGAGTCGTGATGATGCTGCTTCTGCTGCTTCAGCTGCTCGACGCTCTCGTCCGGCGACGGTTTGACCATCTTCGAGGGCCGCGGACCGTCGAGCACGGGCTGATCATCAGCAGTCGTAGCGGGCGCCATCGCGGGTGAATCTGAAGATGGAGGCGAGGCTGCCGCTGTATCTGTATCTGTGTCTGTTTCTGTAGCTGTAGCTGTCTCTGAGGTTGTTGTAGCTGGCGAAGTTGATGTTGCTGTCGATGTTGGCGCTGCTGCGAATGGAAAGGAGAAGCAGTCGAGCCAGGGCGTCGTATAGCCGTTGGATTCGCGGGATGCAGCAGAAGTGCCGGCAGCAGACATCAAGCCTTCAGACCAGAGGATCCTGGATAATAATGATACCGATAATAATGTTGAGATGCAGCAGTCGTAGTTGGTTCTCCTTCGTCGTCTTCTTTTCGGTATCTTCGTCTTTGTCCGTCTGCTGGCTTTGTCGCAATATCGAGTTGGTTACCAGAGAGACATCAGGACGAGCAGCAGAGGAAGAAAAAGAGACTCGAAGCCGGCCCAGCTGCGTCTGACAGGAATCTGAAGGCCCTCCTCCCTGTATCCCCTGTCTCTCTGGGGCCTATATGTCGGTTTCCGGGGGTTGTTATTATTACTTAGTGCATAATAGGGGGACCATGTCTGGCCGTCGCTCTGCAGCGTCTCCCTGCGTCTCCCTGCGTCTGGTTGCTTCTGGGTGCCTCTGCTCCCCTGTCCTTAACCGCATGTAATTATTTCTTTTCTTCTTAATGTATTCACGGTTTAATGCACCCTGGAGCCGAATTGACTGGCAGGCATGTCTGCAGCGAACCAAACAAGACCCCCTAGTCAGTCACTGATATCTAGTTAGTTGCTATCTCTCACTCCTGCTTCTACCGCACCACCACGACCTCATATAGACAAAATAGAAAAAAGAGAGAGAGAGAGAGAGAGAGACGACACCGTCAACACCGTCAGAATAACAGGAGGATAGACAGATACCTGATCATGGTGACGACGACGGTGCTAGGCCTCGCTGCCGCTGCCGGCCTGCTCTCGCACTGGCAGCTCTTCCTGCGCGGCGAGTGGGAGCGCCATACTCCCTCCATTGCAGCCGTCTACTCCCTCGCGGCCGCCGGCTTGATTGCTGCCTTCTGGCTCGTCCAGCGTCTGCCGCTGCTCGACTCGCTGTGGACGCTGGCTGCGCTCGCTGCTGTCTATCTGCTGTCGCTGTTCGCCAGTATATCCATCTACCGGCTCTGCTTCCATTCGCTCAAGCAGTTCCCAGGGCCTGTTGCAGCCAAACTGTCGGGTTTCTGGTCTGTTGCTTGCGCCCTGCCGCAGTTCAAGTTCCACGAAGCAGTTCAGAGCCTTCATGCTGAACATGGCGACTTTGTTCGGATCCGTGAGTTGTCTCGTCGTCGTTGTTTTTATGGCTGTTTTGGTGGCTGTTTTGGCGGTTGTGGTTGTGGTTGATAAGTTAGTTACTGACTTGTGGTAGGACCGCGAGAAATCTCAATCAACAACGCTGCTGCAGTCCGAGATATCCATGGCCATGGCTCAGTCTGCCTTAAGGGGCCCTTTTACGATCTCAATTACCCGTCCAGGTCGCTCCAGATGACCAGAGACAAGGCGTTTCACTCGCGAAGACGGCGCACCTGGGACCGCGGGTTCAGTCCAAAAGGTGCCCCTGAATCCCCAAACCCTCCCCTATCTACCATCTATCAAGCTGGGTCTAACTGACGGTTTCTTGCAGCATTGAGCGAGTATGAGCCTCGTGTGTACCAGCACTGTCTAGATCTGGTCAAACAGCTCTCCAGACTGGCCGGGACGCCGGTAGACATCGGCAAGTGGTTCAAGTACTTTGCCTTTGATGTCATGGGCGACCTCAGCTTTGGACGGCCCTTCGACATGCTCACGACCGGCAACCCTCACTTTCTCTTCGGCATGATGGAGTCCAGCAAGCCAGTCGTAGGGACGCTCATCGGTGTCCCCTGGCTCTTTATTCTCTTCCAGAAGCTGCCTGGCATCAGCCGTGTGCGCTCAAACTGGATCTCCTGGTGCGGCGCCCAGGTTCAGGAACGGATGAAGGTACCTTATCTTTTGCATTCTCTCTCTGATGTAGCTATACTCAATATACTAATGGATGGATAATAGCTGGGAACTACACGGCCTGACCTGTTTTCTTACATCCTGGGGAATGATCTTAGTGAAGCTACAACCGATGGAGACCTGACCTATGACGCCGAATTGGCCATCGTAGCTGGAAGCGAGACCACAGCCATCAATCTAACGACGATTCTCTACCTTCTTGCACGGCATCCAGAGCAGAAACGAGCACTCCAGGCTGAAGTCGACATGCTGATACCCACGCTCGACCAGCTCTCACACCTAAAGCTCGCCTCCAGCAGCCTCCTCGAGGGCTGCATTAACGAAGGCCTGCGCCTCTACCCTCCCGTCCCCAGCGGAGTGCAACGCCTGACCCCTCCGCAGGGAGCAATGATTGCAGACAGATGGATTCCTGGAGACACGATCGTCTCGACTCCCACATACACTCTCCATCGCGGTACGTATCACCATCTCATCCCTGTCATGTTTTTTTCCTTTTTTCTTCTCTCTTCCCTTTTTTTTTTTTCAACACGCCTTTTCTTTTTCTATTTTTACTTCATGATCTTCTACTTTTTTTTGGCTTTCGTATTTCTCGGTCTTTACCTTGTGTTTTTCTTGCCTTGTCTTCTCTTCTCCCTTGCCAGATATTATATGCTCCAGATAGAAGGGCATGCTAACATGGATATAAATTACCCGATCTAGATAGCAGATACTTCGTCCAGCCCAACCATTTCATCCCCGAAAGATGGTCATCCAAGCCCGAACTGATCATCCGCAAGGACGCCTTTAGCCCATTCCTGGCTGGCCGGTACTCTTGTGCCGGCCGTCCGCTAGCCATGATGGAGATGCGCATGCTGCTCGCCATGGTGGTTCGGCTGTTCGACTTCAGCTTCCCCAAAGAGAGCCGTGCCGGTGCCGAGAAACTCTACGATGGCAAGGGCGGATTCAGAGACTACTTCACGGCTGGTGCCCCGACGGTTCCCCTGGTCTTTACCAAGCGGTCTCTCGATACCGTAGCCAATGGGGCCTGAAAGCTGGGTTTGTTTCCCTCTCCCCCCTTCCCCCTTCTAGCCCCTTCTCGTCTCCTTTAACTCCCTCTACACGAGCTAACCTCCTGGTTATTTCTCTCTCACACGCTCTCTCTCTCTCTCTCTCATTTCTCCTCTTCTAAGCGGGCGGCGGGCGGTTTTTCTTTTCTTTTCCTCTTTCGGGTGTATATGCATGCATAATGAGACAAGACAGTCCGCGGGTCCTTTTTTTTTCTATTACAGTTCCTTTTCTTTTTCAGCTCGAAGCCCGAAGTGATGAACGAGATATGACTCTTTTCTTTCCTTTTTCCCCTTCTAAATGACGAGTTTCCTTGCTGTATCTCTTTAACTATCAAATCAACCAGCCAGCCAGCTTACCTGCCTACCAACCAACCAACCAACTTACCAAATTGGGATGCGAACTGAGATATAAATTCAAGACGGGTGCGGAATTGCATGGCAGCACAGCATCCGATTGACTTCGATCTTCCCCCCCTTTTGCCCTCTTCATATCTCCCACACCAATCACCAAGCCGGTCAGAACCAACATTCAAACACAAATGCGCCGATAGTGAGCCATTCAAAAGCGTTACCGTTGGACAGAATCTTCAGGCTCGATTGCAAGCGATCCCCAGAGTATGTAAGTGTACCGTACCGCCGGACGGAAGGGCCAGCAGGAGAAAAAGCAAAGGAAGATATAGTTAACTTAACATTCATCCTTACACACCACCACATACATATACATACCTACATTGCCTGCCTTATTTAGCGGCAGATCTACGAATGGCTGCACATAACGATCTGCCCGATATTAAATACCCCTCCGTCAGTTGATCAAATCGATCGAATCAAATGAACAGTGGTAGCTAAACCAACTGCTGAAAAATGACAAAAGAAGAGGAAGAAGCAAAAGGGAGAGGGGGTGCACGAAGAAACCCGGTTTCCCACCTTCTTGTGACCCCCTACCTACATACATAACAATCAAAATTAGCCCATCCTCCGAGTTATGTATGCATTTTCAAGGATAAGAAACACCCTCACGTATGAAACACCGAGTTAACGGTATGTATAGATTGAGATATATGCTGGCCCGGTTCTTGTCGTGCCTGCAACGTCGTACCAACGCCGACCCGCTGAATGGGAAACGTCCACACCCCCGAACCAGCCTGACGGGACGCGGAGCATCGGGTTCATCCATGGGGCCCTCTGGCTGCTTGCTTGCTTGCTTGTCTGCCAGGCAGCATCCTGCTGGGCTGCCGCAAGCGATGATTTGCCAGCTAAACTACCCGGACCCCTTGACTATCCAACATGTCGGGCTCCTGTCCGCTTCGCGGCATGACATGATATGTTCGACTAGACGAGAGCCGGCTTTTCTTTCGTTCTTGTCTGCTTCCATTGTTTGGTTCGTCCTTGCATAGAGTTTTCTTCCCCCCCAGGTAAGTAGGGATGTTTAAGTATGCGAATGCGAGCGAGAACGTGAGTGGAAACGTAGACTTCCTGTCCCGTCTGTTTGCTGGTGGCTGGCTCCTTTTTTTCTTCCCTCGTGTGATTAACCCACTTCCACTGCAGTATTATTATTACCTGCAGGCCGGCCTGCACACACGCACACTAACTTGGGAATCCTGACCGTGCTTGATGGCCTGCCCGCAGGATGCAGAGTATATAGCTGAGTATACGCCGGGCAAACGGTGTTACTCCGTAGTTGCCTAGGTATATGTATGCAGCATGTACGGAGTCCTCCGTAAGTATGGGCGAAATCATGGCGTGATCAAGGTAAAAACCGTCAGCCGCCTATGATTTCCGAGTTATAGTAACTGTTGCATATTGAAAGCAAGAGAAAGCAGTGGGTGCAGGCGGTGGTTGGGATAATTATCCAGGGGTTCCCCTGGCTTTCCCCCCTCAAGCAGGAGGAGTAAAAGAAGTAAAATTCGGGGACAGATGCCGTCTAATTTGTCCACTTCGAAACTAGACAAACGCTATTCAATGGACCGTCCACAGTAAATTGCGAAAAGCAAGGCTCTCAGCATGATACGAGCTGACATGATTTTTGGCTGTGGTTGAATGAAGACCGAAGCAAAGCCGGTATAACTAACAGATAGTGATAAATGCAACAAGTCAAGTTATCAAATATCAGCCATCACGCACGACATGCAGCCCCTGTCCAACGTCTCGCCAAAAGAAACGTCGAAGATCGGCCTGCAGATATCAGAATCAGCAGAGTGTCCGTCCTCGGTAGTATCGTACAAATCTATGCGCGCCCGCAGGTAAAAGTAAAAGTATCCAGTAACTAACGAGGTGGGTGCAGACATGGCGCCGGGCCACTCGGTAACGAACTCATCCTTGATCGACTGCGGATCAGCCCACAGACAGACTTCCGCTGCCACATCCATCACCTGCGGGCATGCATGGCTCTTTTTTTCTTTTCATTTTTGGCTCTTGATGCTGTGCTGTCCGGGGGCGAAGGGAGAGAGGGAGGGAGGAAGGGTGCCCTGTCCCTGTCTTCCCACGCCATGAATCTGTTGGCTGGCTCCTTCGTTTGTTCGTATATAACTCGGGATTGACTGATATAAACATCGAAGGGGCCGGTTTTATCAGTCGAGATTTAACATTGACCAGGAGTTCCAGGCCAGAGTAGCAAACATCGGGTTTAACGTGGGCTATTTTGATATATCCCTTTCGAAGCCGGCTGGGAATGGTGCAGTTACGTCTGACAGGACACAGCGCGTCAACACGTATGTAGTTGAACAAACGGACGACAACGGCAGGAGAGTTGAGCTATCCAGGCCAGACAAGGAGCAGAGGTCTCTCCGATCGCAGCATACACACACACAGCATACTCCTGAAGCTGTTTGGCTGCCGAGCCGGTCGCCAGTTTTCATCGCTTCATTCGCGCATCGGGACGCCGTGGCACAAGCGAGCTGACCGCTGAGAGATCAGATCAGAGTCAAGGCTTCTCAAGCTCTGTATCACACATGGCGCCGTATAACTAGACTATATACGGAGTAGTCAGTTATCTATGTATGGCAGACGGAGCATTCAAGTGATATGTTGCAGGGCTGAGGCCCAAGAGTAAGCATGTCGTTAGTTAACTGTTGCGAGAGAGATCGAAGGCTCAAGAGCGATGCTCCGAGATATTGGCATGGATGGCAGCCAGATGCGCAGCATCTTAATAGCCTGGGATATATTATAGTTATCATATAACCAAGAACAGTTCATCTGTCACACATCGATAATGATGTTAATTCGAAGTCGTGGTTGCAATGTTATGTATGAGTCTTTGCTGCATGTTTAAAGAGAGACAGTTGACCGGATGGATGTCTCACTATCAAGGATTTGCTATATCGATAACTACACCATCTACGCTGTCCTTTGATGCTGTAGGGAGTGTAGTTAGATATAAACCTGCTGTTCATCTTGGAGACATCAAAGCAGTTTCGAGGTGTTGGATATACTCAGTATCTCTAAAAGGGGCCAAGTGGTGTATCTCCCGTAGTTGTCCTGTACAGCCAGCGACAGCCAGCTTCATCTCTTCATCTTTTTGAGATAGAAAGTTCCCTTCACCCGGGGCTTCTTCTTCTTCTTCTCTTCTCTTCTCTTCTCTATATCCGTAGGGTGTGTCCAGGCCAAAGACTCCGTACCAAGCCCCCTATTACACTCTTCCCCGAGAGGACCAAGACTGCACATAACTATGTCTGAGAATGGCCTCAACCAGTGAACTCGTCAGACATAAATGATAACCCGTGGATGCCCTGCCGAGTGCTCCATCGGCATCACCGTCCAAGTAACCAAGTGGAATCAGCGATGTGGAATCCCAAGCTCAAGCGCGAGGAAGAAGCCGAAGCCGCCTCCAAACAACCAACCAGACGACCGTCAACTAGGTGACTAGTTACCTAGGTATTCCTTCATGCCCGTCGAGGCTCCCTAACTACGGAGTACTCAATATATGTGTAAGTCTGCCTGTCGTTCAAGTCGCTATGGAATCACTGCGGCTCAAACTCCACCAGCGACGCCGCCGTTTTTCGGACGCTTCTGGGATTTGTCAAGCGAGACAAAGACCAGCAAGCAAGACAAGTAAAAAGAGAGTAAAAAGAGAGAAAAAGAGGCAGCCTGGCATGTTCTGACTGGTCGAGGGCGATCCTGGCTCCTTGTCCGTTGCTGAGCTCAGTCGCTGTTGATTGGAGCAGCGCGAGCAGCTGGCGGGCGCAGCAGACGTCGCATTGATAAATAAATAAAACAGATAATTAGCTGGTGAACTGATACGGTAAATAAATATCAGTTAGCAGATATGAGGCTTTCGACTGATTTACTGACCGACTGACTGAGGGCTTGATTGCTTGAATGCTCTGGAATCGACGGCCGATTTTCTTCTCTCTCTGCGGCTGACGGTGAATTAACGACTCCCGGTGCCTCCAGGACGGGCCATGATATCGCCATAGCCAACGACCGTCGACAAGAAAACAGGCAGACAGGCAAGGGATACACGGGCAATAGAGACAGAGACAGAGACAGAGACAGAGAAAGAGAGAGAGAAAGAGAGAGAGAAAGAGAAAAGAGATAGACAGAGAAGCTGGTGGAGGGCCAGGGCGAAGAAAGCTGACAGCTTCACGATGTACATACGACGGGCCAGCGACGACAGCCCCAGCTCCGGCGGGTCTAACAACCTGTATTTTGTGAGTGCTCCAGGCGATGAAACAATTACTACTCTTCTAACAGTAGCTGTTCAATGTCCGTAGATTGCCATCATCGTCCTCGCGGTCGCCGTCGCCTTCATCACCGCGTTCTTCGTGCTGCGGCACCTTCGCAGACGCAACTACAGCCCTCGATTCATACCCGGCAGCTATCTCAAGGGCCTCTGGCAGCAATGGACGCCCGGATCCTCCTATAACGCCGTGCCAGGCGGGACTCGACGGATGGACATCGATGGGGGCGCAGACGACTCTGTTGGCGAGGGCCACCAGCAGCAGCGGCATCAGCATCAGCAGCATCAGCAGCAGCAGCAGGCCGCCGTCGACCGCAACACCTCCGTCCGGTCCGTCATGACGCTGCCCTCGTACACACTGACGCCCAAGGCGAGTGAACAAGTGATAGCCCGGGAAGGCGAGCGAGACGGGATGGATGTGGTTATCGAGTTCCCCGAGACGGCCGACGAAGAGGAAGCACACCGCGAGGAGCAGATGGAGTCGCTGTATCAGATCCGTCTGGCGCGACGGCGAGAGATAGCAGAGCGCGAGGAGGCCCGCCAGCAGCGCCGGGAAGCCCGCGAGAGAGGCGACTGGGCCCGTCTGGAGGAACTGCGGCGAGAGAGTCGAGCCCGCGCAGAGGCAGACCGGCTGCTGCCATCGGGGGACTCCAACAGCAATCCCAACGGCAGCGCTGCCTCCGTGTCTGCGGCCGTCCTGCTGGCCGAGCACCAGTCTCGCAACCGGGAGAGACGGGTCTCCAGCGTCTCCTACGCTGATATCGGACATGTCAGGCACGACGGAACCAGGCTCCGTTCTACCTCCCCAGACCCGGACTCAGACTCGCGGGGCCTGCTCGACTCCGCGGCCGCCATGGGCTCAGCGTCAGCAGCGACGCTCCCAGGCATTCACATACATCAGCGGACAACCTCAGCCTCGTCTCTGCTCTCCCACGCTTCCAACCACTCCGATGCATCCTCCCTGGGCACCGCCGTGGGATCGGCACTGGACTTGAATACCATTCCCCCCCCGTACGATGACGCTATCTCTACCACCACCACTGCCACTACCACTGCCACTGCCTCCGGATGGGGGGATGCTCCGCCCTACCAGCCAACGCCGCCAAACGAAACAGTCACCCGTCACGCAGGAGACGAAGATGCACACGAAGCCAGGCCTCCCGAGCTGGCTCCTCGTCTCCCGCCGCTGTCTACCTTACCCAGCATTGCTATAGAAGTCGCTACCCCGACCAGCAGTGCGCCCCCGACCCCTATATCCCATATCCAGGCACCCTCACCAGTCCACACCCCGACTTCTGCACCCAGATAGGTCATTTTTATTCCTTGCTTGATCCTCTCCTCCCTCTAGGTTGATGTCTTGATATATATCTTCATCTCCTTTCTTATTTTTCTTGATCTTCTTCTTCTTCTTTACTTCCTTTGGATTACTCTTGTGTGGCATCTTATTTGCAGCGTACTTGTTTATGAGCTCGATGATTTCATTCCAGTAACGGCCTCTCGGTGGCTGTTATAGATGTTATTAATAGTTACGGCATTTTATTTCATTGACTTGTCTAAAAAAGAGCAGTTCAACAGCATGATGTTCCGGGAATTCTAGTACGTATGTATAACCCCAGGGACATTAGCCATACTTTATAGAATATGTATAGGAAATAGCAACTACCCCCTTTTCTTAGCAAGAAGATCAACCATTCTAATATTTGAGTTGCAAAAGAGCTCCAGGTAAACATAGAAACGGAAACGGAAACAGACAACGAGGCGTTTTTGCAACGAAGAAAAAGATGCAGCGTCTCATTAATATAAACAAAAAAGCAAGAAAGTAGAAAAAGAAGAAGGCAACTCCCCCTTTGCTTCACCAGTCGTCGTCGTCGTTATTCTTCCCTTGCATGGCGCTCTGGCGCTGCCGTAGAGCCTCTGCAAGACCACCGGCCAAGCTTGCATTGTTCATACTGTTCGGCGTCGCTCGGCCACTGGCGCCGGACGAGTCCTGAGAGTTCATGCTGACGGCACTGTCCCGTGGAGCTACGGGGATTTGTTTGCGCACGTTAATCGGCCGTTTTGCTGGAGGGGCCGGAGGAGCAGGCTTCGCCTTTGCAGCCGCTGATCCGCTGGCACGACCTGCGCCGTTAGGTGTCGGGACTGGAGCTGGAGCCCTGGCAGCTACCGGTGGCGGCGGAGGAGGAGGCGGAGCTGCCTCTTTCACTTCTTCGAGATATGCCTCGGGCGTCCATCCCTGCACCCCTGAGCTTGGGTTCATGCATAGCCACCAACCTGCGGAGAAAGGGAGCATTATTAGTATAACTTTTTCAAAGTTTTATGTCATCGGACGGTTTGATGCATTTTGGGGCAGAGGGATTTTTAGATTACCATTTGTTTCACGGGAGACGATCTGTACTATCTCTCCCTGGCGGATGGCCAGCTCATTTGTATTCCCGCTGTTGAAGTCATACAGGACTTTGGCCATAGGTTTCTTCGGCGCTGGGGCTGCCTGTGGAGGAGCAGGTGGTGGTGGCGGCGGCGGCCGTGACTGCGACTGTGATGCTGTAGAGCCAACGCGGTTATGGGACGTTGCTACAGCGGCAGCAACAGCAGCAGGCTGGGGCACCGGCCTCGACTCGAGAGTTGACTGATGACCGCTTCCCGGAAGCTGCTGTGGTGCAGGACGCGGCTTGGGTTTGGCCGCGGCTTGCGAGAGCTTGGATGGCCCGCCTCCTGGACCGCCAGGTCGTAGAAGTTTACCCTTGCTGATGGGCTTTCCGGCCACCTGCTTGGGTCGTGGTGTTGGTTTCGATACCGAGTTTGCTGGCTCTCCTGGGCCTGTGCGGATAGTTCCACTCTTATACACATCATCCCGGGGTATAGCTGGATCCTTGACCACTTTGACCTGCGCCATCTTCCCAGGTTTCTTATTGAAGTCAATCCTAAGCCTTGACGTTAGTACAGTTCAGGTTTTATTTCACTAAAAGAGGTTTCTTCTCAAACATACACATCACCAATCTTCAAGTTCATCTGTCCGCGCAAGGCATTCGTAAGGTGAGTGAAGAATTCGGTCTTGAGTACACAGGACAATAGAGGATCTGGTTCCTGAGGAGCACCGACGACTATTGAAAACCAATCATCCTTAAGATTGGATGTTCCAACAGCTTTGATTGCGCCTAGCGAGATGGTCCGCTCAGCGGATATGTTGAGCTGATTGTTCACAACAGCTTGAACAACGATATAAACGTTTTTTGCGGTCTACCACAGCGGAGGCTCTATATTAGTATTCTATTTAAGTTTGGAACCGGGGAAAAGAGAATCTTATACCAGGATCAAAAGCCGTGGCGCAGGTTTACTCGATCGACCGAATTTTGTAACCAAGAGCTCACAACGACAGGAGAAAAGTACTGTTTCGGAACCTAGAATCATACGTGTCAATAGGGGTAACGGGTATCCAAAGCATCTGAATACTCACTTGAAAGATGGATGGAATCTTTAACAATCTCTCCAAATCCACCTTTATTCCCAACACCAATATAATCGCCCAGGAATCTCCTTGAACCGAGAAGACTGAAACGCCGACGCTCCTTTCTTCCGCCTAGTACTCTATTGCCCTGGTCTCGGAGCTTTATGAACTCTAGACCACCGGTAACACGCCTCCAGAAACGTTGGATGCGAATCGCACATTCAGTTCTATATCTCAGGTAATTGCGCCATGCACGCTGTATCCTGATAGCCATGTTATGCCAATAACGGTCTCGCATGTGTTCTAGGGCGAAAAGAGTTTCAGGAGTTTTGATAAAAGCTTTGGTCACACCCATCTGGTATTCTTCAGCTGGGATACTTGTATCTTTCAAGATTTGTCGGCAGCCGGATTCCGCATCACCGGTCCAGGTGTAGTCACCAGCATAGGAGGTCTTAGGAGACAGGAGATAGAATCGCTCAACGAACTTGTCGAATGTCTGTCGGTAGGCGAAACCAGCTCTCCTTATTCGGACGTTTTCTTGCAGACCAAGATACTTGATTTGATGCATAACATTTCCAACATTATACTCGGATGGGGACTTGTTATCGTTTGGTTTTATTGTTCGAATATACGAGGGTTGGGCTTTGGCTAATGTGTTAACCAAATCATTTGCAGATGCCTTAATCTTGTCACCGGCGGTTGGCGGACGTCGCTTATCATCCTGGTTCACTTGGTTGGGGAAAAGGGTATGCAGAAAACCGTTGCTGCTTGAGTTAACGAGGTTCAATATATCCTTAAGCAGTTGGTCCTTGTTCTTATCTGTCATCCCTTCAATGGCATAAGAAACATCGCCGGCATAATGCTTGACAATAAATTGGCCTTGCCTAGACTCAAAGTTTGGATTTTGGCCGAGGAAATTCAATCTTCCAACGAAGGTTTGATCTGCTGCCGCTGAGTCCGCATGGGCAGTGGCACATGCGTCGTTGAGAGCGGCAAAGATTCCTGGCGGTCTCTTGTCTTCAATTAGCGAGCAAACAACCTTATTATCGAAGTACTTGATGGGAGTCCATTGTATTTGTTCCCGGGCATATTCTTCTTGCTCAGTCTTCAATGTTAATTGAATAAAGATCTGCTGGAGCTTTTCATTAACATAGTTGATACAAAGCTGTTCGAACGAGTTTTTCTCGAAAATCTCAAACCCATAAATGTCGAGGATACCGATGGAGTTTGAAACAGCTCCCTTAGCGACCAAGGAAGCATTCACTCGTTGCACGATCCAGTCAAAGAGATTGAAGTAGAGGGCCTTTGCCAGGGCATCACGAACGGCCAGAGCTTGTACTGTATTTAATGGAACCTCGTAGACGGAGCCCCTTCGACCTCCTCTCGCAGTTTCGACAATTCTGTGAGTGAGGGCCTTTTGAACCTGGTCCGCATCAACTTCCATCAAATAAGCAACAAAGTCAATAACTGACCGGTCCGTGATAGTGGCATTGCTCTGGTCATCCTCGACAAACTGCATGTTTCCTAGCCAGAGGATGGCAGCTAGTACGCGGAAGATGTTATCCTGCTCAGCTTGGCTCAAGCCAATGATCTTCATGGCTTCAATGGTCTCTCTAAAATCGGCTGAATCATCAATATTAGGCACGTCAAAACACTTTGAGCGGCTTGTGTATAAGTAGGCGTCAGGTTTCTGAATTCCAAACGATTCTATGTGACACTGTTAGAAGCCGACCGTAGACGCACTTTAGGGGTACATACCTCGATATGACTGGGGAGCAGCCTTCGTGAATTGGTAGAATATGTGGAAATTGCGCTCGTTGGTGATCTGGCCCACGACTCTGGATTTCTCTAATAGATAGTTTGTGATCACAGCTCCAACAGGTTCTCCAACCGAGTTAAACTGGAGTTCTAGGTATTTTCCAAATCGTGAGGAGTTATTGTTGCGCAATGTTTTCGCATTTCCAAACGATTCTAGGAGCGGATTGGTTGCCAAAACCATATCCTTAGTTTCTTGAATTGAAGAATCCGAGCCTCCTGAGACGTTTGCGATATACTGCATCAATCGCCTGGCAGCTTCGGTTTTTCCAGCACCAGATTCTCCTGAGATAATAACACACTGGTTTTCCTTGTATGCTTTCATGTTATAGTATGCTGACTCGGCGACTGCGAAGACGTGTGGTTTTACTTCGAGACGGTTCTTCCCGCGGTACGACTCGAGGACCTCGTCGGTATATATTCCAACTAGGCGAAAAAGAAAAATGTTAGAACTAGAATGTTACTGAGAGTCAACGTATACTTACGGTCTCGAAATGGGTTGACAGAGACAAGCACATGGCCGATGTATGTCTGCGATCCGGTGTTAGCGTGCGGCTGGTTAAGGGGCAAACGCATATAGAGCAGCACTCACGTAAATCTCTCCATGCTCAAAGCGTTTCTTCAGATTCTCGTTGATAGCTTCATTGGACACCTTGCTGAGCAGTGTCAAGTCTGACACGCCGACTTCTTTCTTCTTGGTGCTCTCAAACACGGCCTTCTTTACTCGCGGTTGGCCGGATCCCTTATCCCCCGCATGTTTAGACCGCCCGCCTTTGCTCTTCTTATCATCGCGAGGACGTTTAGAATAACCCTGGAAAACGAGAATGGGTTAGTATGTCTCTTTTCTTATGTCGGACCGGCGTCCTCCAAGCATGCGACGTACCATTCTTCCGGTGGCAGCTCACACGGGGTTGGCTGGGCCAACTTAGGTGAGCCTGGGGATTGTAATGTTGGGCGCCGCGCTGGAGTTGTTGCTTGCTGGCCGACAACGCAGCGGCAGACCTGGAGTCACCCGGGGGCTTCTGTAAAGATTAGAGACAAGGTAGGGACTACAGCAAAAGGGCTTTGCCTTGGGTATCAAAAGCTCAAACAAACACCAGACCTGATCTGCCAAAAGTGTTGCCAGTCAGTAACATTTCAGAACTAATTAAATGTCACTGATTATGTAAGCAGGATGATGCAGCTTCCCACGCGGCTTTTCAGTGTCTTCGCTGCGCCACAGGCTGATTATTTTATCTTATTCTACGGAGGAAGCCGGCAGGACGAGAGGCGACAGTGAGCAGTGACAAATTCAGTCTATTTAGTGGTCCTAGATATGGTCTAATGTACAGTCTGGAGGGTATATTAACAAAAAGGAGGCGCCTGGTTAAGAGTGGGACGGGTTTGTATCAGAATATGACACTAAAGATCTAGTGTGCAGCTTGAGACTGAGGGGAGGATATCTCAAAAGTCATCTGTCAAGATGCGAGTATGCAAACATGTCTATTGGGTGGGGATTAGATTTATTTCTTTGGTAAAGGAGTAGATGAAGCAGCCACGTTTGGCTGAGATGGAGCTTGCGCTGGAGCCTGTTGAGGGGGCTGCGGTTCTAGTCTCGTAGTAGTGGTCGTAGTATCGCTGCCTACTTTTGGCCACTGGAAGTAGGAAGAGATGGTTGCGAGAAGCGAAGGCTCTGGCTCTGGTTCGGGCTCCTCCTCGACGTGCCATATTTCCTTTGGCAGAACCCGCTTTAGTTCTTTAACGGGGCGCTTCTCAAGCTGGGACTGCAGCCGGAGAACCTCTTTCTCTAGGACGATCAGAGCAGCGCGTGCAGCATTCTCCGACTCTTCCAGCTCCGCCAGACGCTCGGCAACGTCTTCCCGCCTTGATGTTTCTTTCCGCCGGGACCGGAACGATTCGAATATTATCAATCCGCCTCCAACAAGGAATAGGAATGTCTCACTGATGAAATTTGCTCCCATGTCGATTGCTTTTCCTTCAGACAGCGGTCGAATCCGAGGAATTGGCGGAGCCTTAACCGCACCTCCTGCGGCTTTCTCTTTTGCTTTAAGTAACTCATCTGCCTTCGTCTGGGCCTCCGTCTTAACCGTCGGTGTTTGAAGTTTTATCTTCTTAGCGTGTGCTTCAGCGGCTTCACGGGCAGCTTGCTTTTCAAGAGCAGCAGTGTTCTGGAGCAGGCCGAGCCTTAACCGCATGTCAATGCGATGTACTGTCTGCGCGAACGACACGCATATCCGACGAAACCGTTCATGTTCACGAGCTTGTGCTTTGATTTGGTTCTGTTCAGAAATGCAAAATCGTCAGTTTTACCCACAGAATAGGGGGACCCTATATCTGCCACGCTTACTGCTATAGGTTTTGATAGCGTCCTTATGACAAGAGACGAGAGCTTGAGTGTGATGCTCGACATTGCGTAGCTTTCATGCTTTGGGCGGGGAGCTAATTATTCAATCGGCAGGCTTAAGACACAACGAGCAACACAATCACCGCATCTTCACGCTACTAACAATGGCCAATCCAAGGCGACTATCCAACACAGCCTGCCAACAGTCCAACAGGTCGGCGTCAAGCTGAATGTTCAAAAAGAAGAAGACGAAGACGAGAGGTCGAAAGCCGAAAAAACGCCAAGCACGAGGCTAAAGCTGACATAATCAGATAAGGTTCTGTCATGTTTTTCCGTCCCGACAACCTTTGTTTACCTATTTCCTAATTAGGCTAAGCGTTGCCCGGCCAAAAAGCTGCAACTTCGGTTTGCTTGTCGAGAAGTAAACAGTTCGAAGAGACGAAGAGAGGAAGAGAGGAAGAGACTCACTCGTTCACGGCGGAGAAAGTTGACCTTGGGCGAGGCTTGCATGCGATATCTTGTTAGCAGTTTTATGTCGTTGTTGAGCATTTGTTTCTGAGCATTACTCTTATCTTCTGTCCCGTCCTGTTATCATCGGAGTTCATTCCCTGCCGGCGCAATTCAGCCCATAATACGTTTCCCTAGGGATACCTACTTTTGCTCTCTACTATCACTCAAAGGAAGGGCCTCTATACACTCGAATCGACGGTCACCATATTTCTCAACCTGCCCACTAAGTCATTACTCTGATCTATGCAAGTTCGCAATTGATATAAGCCATGGAGCCACTATCTCCGCGATCAACCAACATTCCGCCAAAACCAAAGGTCGAATCGACTAAAAAGCTATCTGTCAAGACCAATCCCACTCAAAAGCAGCAAACATCCCACCGGCACCATGCGACACCTCCACCTCCTGAGGTCAAGGAACCTGGCGCCAGCGGAGAGGAATACGAGATAGGAAGCTTCCTTGGAAAGGGTGGGTTTGCAGTTTGTTATGAAGGGAAGCTTGCAAGGAATGGACGAATCTTTGCCATGAAAGTTGTCAAGTCCGAGATGCAGCAAAAGAAAATGGAGGAAAAGGTATGCCCTACTTAGCAATAAGTCCGGTCCCCGTTGGATAGCTAACTCAATTGCACGGTTATAGTTTCGGACAGAACTACAAATCCATTCAAAAATGAATCATCCTAACATTGTTACATTTCACCGGGCGTTTTCCTTCCAAAAGAACATATATGTGGTTCTCGAGCTTTGTCCCAATGGATCGGTAATGGATATGGTGAAGAAAAGAAAGTTTCTAAGTCTGCCAGAGGTCCGACGGTTTATGATACAGCTTTGTGGTGCTGTGAAGTACCTTCACAAACGTCACGTTGCCCACCGTGATTTGAAGATGGGCAACTTGTTTCTCGATCAAGGCATGAATATCAAAGTAGGTGACTTTGGGCTAGCAGCCCTAATGCTCAGTGAGAAAGACGAGAAGAGAAGGAAGACCCTCTGCGGAACCCCAAATTATATCGCTCCGGAGGTATTAGACAAAAGCAAAGGAGGCCATAACCAAAAGGTCGACATCTGGTCTTTGGGTGTTATTTTGTGAGTGTTGTCGAACCCTCTGGAAATGAAGAAGATGACTAATTATATCTTGCGCATCGATTCAGCTTCGCTATGCTTACAGGTTTTCCCCCCTTCCAATCAAAAACGCAAGAGGAGATCTACAAGAAAGTGAAGTCACTTAGTTATGACTGGCCAGTCGACACTGAAAGTGCAAATTATATTCCAGACGAGGCTAAAGACCTGGTCACTGCTTGCTTGAATCTTTCAGAGGAAAAGCGGCCAGACCCTGATCAGATTGTAGATCATCCGTTCTTCAACATGTACTCAGGCTGTATCCCCCGTGAACTAGAACCCGAATCCCGCACATCAGCTCCACATTGGATAACAAAGGATAGCCCTCGAGGCGACAATCCGGCCCCTGGATACAGTTTGGAGTACGATCATACGTATAGGAAGCTGATATCACATGTTACGAATTCGAACCAGAGATACATCATATGTAAGAACATATTTTACGCGGAATGCGGCGTTGGAAGACGGAGCTCCGGGGAGATACGAAAGGCAGCTGGAAAACGATGTGGAAAATCTGCTTTTGCAGAATGCCTTACTGAAGAAGAGAGGGGGCTCCAGCCTGTTATGCCTCTACCATCTGATAGAGTCTACAGCTACTACATTGATAATGGCAAGGACTGGAGCCTTAACGAAGCAGACATGGAAAACGACTTGCCGGAGGATCAAGAAAGTAGCACTGGAGCCATTGATGGCCGGGGGACTTTGACTAAATCAAAAGCTGCAATGATAGCCAGGACTGAGATCGCCCTGGCTGCTCAACTCAATCGCCGAGAATCCGCCCCAAAAAATCATGCTGCTATGTTGCGTCAACAAGCGGTTGCATCCCGTCCAGCAGCGAAGGATCCTTCTTCAACGACCGCCCAAGATGCAGTGGTAGTTTCCGACGTTGTACCCGAGAAGAATCCGGCCATTAGGAGCACTCGGAATCTACTTAGTCAACGCCCAATACGCACTCGATCGCAGACTGCTCAGGCTTACCATGAGTCTATGCGGGAAAAGAATCGCGTGCCCATTACATCTATGCCCAAGTCAAGCTCAACACCAGCAGCACTGACTGCTCCCTCCAGTAAAAAGGGCCCCAATTCCGGGCCTGCTCCAGTGGTTGGCCTTCGAAGCGCTGGGCAGGAAAACGCGGTTGAAGAACTCGCCAAAGTAGCGGAGCGTCAGCCTCAATCAATCGTCGGCTCTGGACGAACGATACCTATTCGGGCTGCTTCAACCTCAACCTCAACCTCAACCTTACGCCGGCACCAGAGCCAATCGTCGGCTACGAGCAAGGACGTTGCATCTCGTTACAATAAGCAACACGGCTTGACCAGATCAGCAACGACATCATCAGCCGCATCCAGTAGTAGCGGCAAATCACGATCAGCATTAGGATCCGGCCCGCTCATTTTGCCAGAGGATCAGTCAGAATCAATGCCAGGATCGAGCGTACATGAAGTTGTAGCCGATCTTCAAGTATACCAGTCTGCTCTTCGCGAGATACCACCTCAAAACTCAATTAAAGGTTCTGGGAACCGAGTTACCCAACCCCAATCAAGTTCCAGATCTGGAGCCCATCCATATGTTGTGAAGTGGGTCGACTACACTAATCGATATGGAATTGCTTATGTGTTAGACGAGGGAAGTGTTGGCTGCGTTTTCAGGGGAGAGAATGGTTACCCAGCGACTGGAGTAGTAGTTAGAGATGGCGAAAGCCATCTTCGACTAAAGGCGCGCGCCAAAGGGGATCCAGAAAGTGCCATCCCATACTCAGAAGTTGACCAACTTGTTCCAAGAGACGGGAAACCGATTGAATTCTACGAAAATGTGGAAATCAATGCATCTGGCTATTCTGACGGAACGGTTAAGCGAGCTCTTCTTCCTGCAAAAACATTCGAAACAAGAAGGTCAAGTCCAGACAAGCCTGCAAATATTCTTTGTACAGTTAGGAGTGCTGAAAAAGCAAATCGCGTCAGGTTGGTAGATCAGTTTGGAAAATACATGGTAGGCTCGCTGGGGAGAGGCGCTATTGAGCCATCAAAGTCAAAAAGTAGTGGCCAATATATCAAGTTCTACCAGAGACTTGGGAATGTTGGCGTCTGGGGTTTTGGTGATGGTGCATTCCAAGTGAGATCCTTTTCTTCTTATCCGAACCAGAGGCAAGTTAACAACTAACTCCTATCCTTGCAGTTCAATTTCCCGGACCACACAAAGCTTGTGCTATATCTACCCGAGCAAAGGCCCGCCGACCCTTCGGATTTGGCTAACTCTTGTCGAATTGACTTTTATCACCTTTCGCCATCAGCAGCCAGATATCTCGTTGCAAAAGGCAAAATGCATCCCAGCGGGTTTGATACCAGAACAGTCATATCAGAGCTGGCCTCTGCTTATCTATCCTCGATCTCTGGGGTTCCCACAAGGGTCCCGGGTATCAGCTCCGAACGGTTCAGGGATATCCTCGAAGCAAACTCTTTCCCAAAGAAACTCGAGTTTATCACCACTGTTATTGATTGTTGGGCTACGAACAAGAGACTTGGAGGAAGGGTTTACCTTTCGTCTGTCTCTAAAGTCAACGGTGCCATAAAATGTACTTCTGCGGATCTTCTCTGGGATGGAGCTCAAGAAAGATCATGGGCTAGCGCTTCCGGGAGCAAATTCGTCTGGGTTTCGGTTGGTGCACAGGGAGGAGATGGCGACTATATGTCAGTCAAACTCCAAACAAACGCAGCAGGAGAAGTTCAGTGTGCTGGCATGGAAGGGCACCCTCAGCTCGGAGATCAGCTACAGAAGTTAGTCTGATGCTATTTCAGGCCGTCACAGCCTTGCAGCATCAATGTCGAGTTTCCATCCCCCATAGTTTTGGCTGATAGCCAATACCCGTTGTTTGATTACTGTTTGCCAGTCTACATCTGCTTCATATAACGAATTTACGACCTTCGCCTGTCACTACTTTTGGTCTTTTTGGAGCGAAAATACCCTTAGCATACGAATTTAATCTTCTTTGTCTTCTCTTCTCTTTATTTTAGCATTTTATCTACTTATCAAGCATAATAGCTCGGCGCTTTTAACATATATAATGCCTCAACAAAAAATTTCTTTTTGCCTTTTATTCCTGTTTAAACCGAAGATATAGTCTCTTTGCAACTACCGGCGGAATCCAGCCACTCCTCTCTAGTGATAGCATAGAACACCTCACCCAGCTCTGTACCTGGGAGCGGATCACGAAAGTCCAGATGGAGTGTTTTGAAGTGCTTCAAGCCGCACTTCTCCATGACACGACGAGATCGTGAATTGACAAACATCGTTCCTGCCACTACCTGGGCAATGTTCAGGGAACAAAAGGCATACTGAACAAGGGCTCGGCCTCCTTCAGTTGCTAACCCCTGACCCCAGAATCGACGACGAATCCGATATCCAAGTTCCAGCCGTACAACTTCTTCATTGCTTTCGGCATTAGTACTACCAAAGCACTGCCGTGAGAGCTCGTCTAGAGCACCAAGTCGGAGCCAGCCAATAAATTCCATGCCTTCAGGTGTAGGTGTTTCGGCTATCCACTTGCCAGACCGCGGGCTGATATCGTACTCTTGAATGATCCGTTGGATTTCTTCTTCGGCTTCTTCCCTGGATGGTGGCTCGCTGTCGATGTATTCCATTACTCCTTCGTCATTATTGAGCATGCAGATCAGGTCGATGTCGCTTGACTTGTAGCGACGAAGGTGAATTCTCGGGCTCAATTTCAATCCGGATGTTGTTTCCTCCATGCTGTAGACGGTTCAATAGAAATTTATAACTATCGTTATCAAAAGAAACGGAATATTAACTAGTTAACGATTTGACTAACTGATGAAGTCAGTGTTTTGCGAATGCTTCCCTAAACAATTGGAAATATATCAGCCTCTCCAATTTTTCTTCACATAGTAAGCTATGACTCAAGTTATACGAATGTTTTACAAGGACTTAGTTGGGCGTATCTCAAAAGGATGCAAGCATATGTCACGAAGAAGTGCAGCCCCTTTGAAACATGCCACAGAATGTACGTACAGAGTTATAAATATCGATTTGCTGTCGAAAGATATGCGTGATCTAATAATATCCTATTTTGGTTACGGCTAGCACTATAGTCTGCTCTTCACCCCCAGGACATAGAAAGCCAGTAGTTATCTAAGTCCATCATTTGCGAGGCTGTAGTTGTTTGTGTCTGGGAGGACATATGACTTTTTCATTATGGCTGAAATTTCTTCCGCTGTATTAATTCAGCAAGTGGTATATCGTCCTCATCGTAGAATTCAACCTCTTCATCAACTCCAAAATCTTTCAACCTTTCCCCCTCCGAATTTCTCCAGCCTTCTTCTCCACTGTTGGACGATTCGTCGTGTTCCGAGTCGGAGATATTGGATAGATGGCCATCATCCCCCTTTTTAATGTATCGTTTATGAAATGGTTTTCGACGGCGGACTTCGGAAACAGCTCGTTGGCGCAGATAATCTGCCTCTTGGCGCTTATGAAAGGCCTCAACTTCGTCATAACCAAAATTTTGACCATCCCCAAGAAGTGTAGTTTTATCCTCCCTTAGTGGCGTGTTTCGAGCCATCCTATCAGGGTCTGGCGGAGGCCAGGTGAGAGATTCATCTTCGGAAATCAATGTTGTGCTCCAAGACGATAGTTAGAGGTACAGAGGTAACACATACCTTCAAAGCCATTAACTTCAAATTCTAGCCCAGTGCGCTGATCCGGTGTTCGTGAAAATGGCCAAAACCAGCCAAAGATCTGGGAAGTCGTCTTTGTTAGAATGTGATTTTGTTCAAGGTGTGTCGAATATAAAATGGGCAACATACATTATTACTACCGCCCATGCCAGCTCTGATGTTATTCCAAATACCAATATCGTATGGAAATTCTTGTCTTTTGATCCAGATTTTGACACCATCCGGACCTTCAAGATAGCCACCCAGGGCTCGTGCTCGGCGACACAATGTCTTGTGCCTTTCAATTTCCCATCCTTCGATAGTAGTCTCGTTTGCGCCCAACATCCATATATTTCGAAGTAGTAGAATCAACAGGGCAAGCAGAACTACAGTATTAACAATAGCAAGCACGAAAAGATGCCCGAGTTGGGCTAAAGAGGGACCGTAATACTGTGCTTCTCGTGTTAGTGAAATGGAATAGAACTATCAACTATGTTCACAAAGGTAGAACATACACTTGGTAGGCTTCGGTTACCCCATACCACCGCTATACGGATATAGAGAAAGCGTTCAAGATATACCATGGAGATTACTGCATAGAACAGGAAACGAATAAAATGCGGGAATGTGAAATGCGAGACGCAGTTATATGTCCATGGGCAATGGTGGTCCATCTTAGGAATACATCTTCAAATAAGATCAGTACATGGGATATCAATACACAAAAGCGTGCTTTTCTGAGCTGCGCTCACCGTTGGCAAGTTCTACAATGGTGAGATCTTGGAGGCTTGTACGCCTCGCATCGTCGACACCATCGTTGACGATAAGAAGGGTCGCTGCCCTCTTCGATGCCAAGATGCTTCTCTAAAAGTGCACTTGCAGTATTCGGTGGCTTCCAGTCTTTTGGGATTCTCCCAGGATCCGTTCGGCATGCCCTAGCATAGCATATCCATGTGCAAGCTACCAGGATATTGAATTTGATGAGCTCAGGTGTACTCAGAGGCGCAGGTTCAAGGAAAAGGAACAAATATTGCGAACTATATGAAAGAAATGCTATTAGTAGTACAACAAACGGTACTGCAAGTTGGTATATCTGAAATTCCGCCATGACCTCCTCTAGAGATTCATCAAGGAGGGCGTGAAACAGAAAATGCCGAAAGCCAACGTTAGTTTAAAAGTAGCCACCAAACTTAGTTATTAGTTAACTAGTTAGTTAGATTACTAAGGGCATTTACCGGCACAATAAGGTATAGAAGGGGGCGGTTAAGGTTGGTTATAACCTCCTCTACAGATAACCCAGTTATATGGGGGGGCGTACACCAAGAGGCCACCAGATATCTCGGTTATATGTAGCTTTAGGTAAGCAGCTGGTTAAGCTTCTAGTTATAGTTAGTACTATAAATCCTTAGCCAATTAATAAATTCTTTAAATATTATATAATATTTAATATATCGCCCTCTATATATATATTATAGAGGTAAGAGAGGTAAATAGGGAGGTAGGAGAGCCATATTCCACCTCCCTGTGTACATTACAGAGGGGAAAGGGGTAACTTTTTTAACAGGCTTATATAATTCTGGTTATCGAATAAACGCCGTTACCACAAGTTACAAGCTAGTTACCCCTGAATTCTATTCAGGTTAAGCAGCTTATTACTCTTTACTCTTATATAAACCAAACACAATAAATATTTCATAATTTCTTCCCCCAATATTATTACTTTCTACGTTTATTACTATCTTTTAACTAATTAATTTTTAAAAATCTATATTTTTACACAGGAGGCGACATTATAAGTTCTCGTCTTCTAGTCAACTTCAGCTCCCTCCCCAGATTTTTCGCCGCCAGTTGTTGCTTTATTTTCGGTATCGAGCTTGCTCTGCACTTTCTTGATGCTCTTCCACTCCAGCGTAGCGGCACCAAGCAGCGACATACATGAAATAATAAGCCCGATCTGGAATACAGTGCGCAGTGCTTCGTTGTATGAGAAGCGGACTGTATCATGTTGATCCGTGGGTATTGCATTAAATAGTCCCGTGATACCACCCGAAGTAACGAGACGGGGAGTAAACCCTGGAAGAGCTGAAAGCCTCTTCACCAGCTGATTTGCTAGGACGTTTTCACCCACAGATACAAAGACTGCTGCTCCAATAAGCTGTCCGAATAACATCAACGCCAAGCCAAGTGGTACGTCAGGTTTTGATAGAACGGTTTGTGCGGCGAGGTTAGGAACCTGGAAACATAGACCCAACCCAAGCCCGTAGATGACTTGATAGCCAATCCATTCCCCGTTACTGCTGGCCACCTTCAAAGTGGTGAGAAGGCCAGCGCCGACCGACATAATGCAGGAACCAATGATTGCCAATGGGGTATAGTATCCAATTTGGGAGTTTAAAGCTCCGCCACCGACTGATCCAACGACCATTGAGAGCATCATTGGTAGTAAGCGAATGCCAGAATTCACAGCAGAGGTGCCTTGGATAGACTGAAACCAAACTGGGAGGAAGTATACTATATTAACGAAAAGTTAGCTGATTGCGGTACTAATGACTGTGGATGATATTCTTTCCTACCAAAGATATAATTTCCGGAGCCGATGCAGAGAGTTTGCCAGAAGGCCGAAATAACGCTGCGCTGCGAGAAAAAGCGTGCTGGAAGTGTAGCTGACTTGGGGAGAAGGATCTGAACTGCAACGAAGGCAGGAATCAAAACTGCCATGAGAGCGAGACAAGCCACGACACGGCCACTGCTCCACTATTCACTAGTTGTTAGTTGAGGCAGAAAAAATAGGTGACTTCGCCGTTGGATAACGTACAGCATACGCTTGGCCTCCCCACTGAAGTGCCAGCACAAGAGAGACCACTCCAAGCACCAGCAGAGTAGTTCCCAGGGAATCAAGCTGTACTAGCTTCTCAACTAAGGGTACCCTTGTTGTATCTCGTTTAGGAAGTTTGAGGCAGAAGGCAATGAAAAATATCGCGACGCCACCAACGGGAAGGTTGATGTAGAAGCACCACCTCCACGAGACATTTGAGGTAAACGCGCCACCAATCAATGGCCCTACAACAGAGGCAATGCCAAAAAGAGCACCAAACAGCCCCTGAATTTGTGGACGCTTCTGGAGAGGCACAGAATGAACGATGCACATGATCTAGGAATCAGGTCAATCAACAGCGATTGTTACTGGGATAGAATGGTCAGCTTACAGTTCCGGCAAGAATACCGGCTGCTCCAATACCGCAGATTGCCCTTCCGATAATAAAGGATAACGAGTTGGGAGCCGCTCCACAGATGGCAGAGGCAGCCTCAAACAGTCCGATACTGCAAAGGAAGACGGCCCTGACAGAGAAGAGCCTGTATAGCTTCCCAAATAAGAGCTGGAACGCGCAGCATGTCAGCAAGTAAGCACTGCCGTACCAGCCAACATCATCCAAGGACTTGAATTCATCAGTAATTTTGGGTATCGCCTGTAGGTATTATGAATGTCAGTGACTTGACTAATTGATTTCATTTCCATGCAAGTGAAGTGTCCTCACAGTTGAGATGATTGTTCTGTCCAGCGCAACCAGGAACATGGCGACAAAGGCCGAAATGATGAGGCAGACAACCCGGGAAATAGGCTGTTTCTCGGAGTCCTCACTTTTAGCTATAGAATCGGGAGTCAAGTCACAATGCTGGTTGGCCACCTTTGGTACATCCGCCACTGCGGATTTGGTGCTCTTGGGGGAGAAAGTGCATGAGGAAGCCATTGCCTTGATGCTTCTGCGAGAGGGCCGATCGAGGGTTGATGGATAAACATTTTGAGACGGAAAACCAGGCAGATGAAGCTCCAAGGTCTCATATTTATAGGGTATACGCAGTAACAAATCCAGCCGGGGATTCGCATATTGTAACTGCAGTTGGTGACGGTGTTTTGGATGTTTCTCTCCAGCCCTCGGGGGTTAGAAAGTGCGGGCTCTTGGGGCCGGAACTTTAAATCCCGAGCATACCTACTCCGGACCTAGACTTGAGATCACGTCTCCTTCGCCTTCTCTCTCTGCCTTCTTCCCCACGGAGAATTCAGGCGACAGAATGAACTATCGACACCCCTAGAATGCGATCATGATGCCTACTGCTGCTAGACACCAACGGGTACTAGCTTGCGTGCAGTGTCAGCAGCGCAAAGTCAAATGCCAGCGCTCCTTTCCATGCGCCAACTGTGTACGCGCCAGCGTCCCCTGCGAGCAAGCAACCCGCCAGCGACGCCGCCGGTTTTCCGAGAGGGAGCTATTGGCGCGCCTGAGGCACTACGAGGGCCTTCTTCGACGGCACAATATCGAGTTCGATCCCCTCCACCCGCTGGATACAGACGATCGGACCACAAGCGAAAATAGTCGAGTTGAGCCAGAAGCAGATAAATCAGATAAAATGGCCGGGCGAACCGAAAGATCTAAACCAGTGTATGGGATTGAGTTCCTTTTCTCAGTCAAATATAACTGTATGATGGCTAATTGTAGCTTAGGAATCTTTGGCGTGCCATGGCTCAAAGGGTACGGCTAGCCAGTCCTGATTATTCACGTTAACCAGCCAGAACTTCATTAACAATCAAAACAGTCTATAGATTCCGCAGATGATGAGGACAGTTATGATGAAAACGGAGATGAAGAAAATAACACTGGTTTCTTGCATGAGAATGATGACATGCGGCACGCAGTTATCAAGAAGGCGTGGCACCATACTTTCCAGGGCCAGAGCAGTGGGCATCTTCTCTTATTTGGTTCTTCTGGAGGGATTGTCGACCTCTCTACCACGCACCCAAGTCAGATGCAAATCTTTAGGCTCTGGCAAGTTTATCTGGATAATGTCAACCCCCTTCTCAAAGTCACGCATACGCCGACCTTGCAAGCTCGTATTATCGATGCTGCTAGCGATATAACTAACATCAAGCCCACATTGGAAGCGCTGATGTTTAGCATCTACTCCATCTCCATTCTCAGCCTCACCGAAGATCAATGCAGTGGCTTCTTCGGGTCCCCAAAGAAGGATATTTTAACAGGTTATCAAACATCATGCCAACAAGCGCTGGGGAACTGCGATGTATTACAATCCTGTGACTATGAATGCTTGACAGCACTGTACCTCTATCTAGTAAGGTGCTCGATAATTCTACTCATGAATACATTCTAACTTCTGAACTTTATAGGTCGCTATCAGGCCTGCAACAAACCCTGCGTCTCTTTCCTCGCTACTTAGCGTTGCTATACGCATTGCTCAACGGATAGGTATTCACCGTGAATCCATGTATAGCAAATGGCCCCCTTTACAAGCTGAGATACGTCGAAGGCTGTGGTGGTCGCTTGTGATCTTCGATAATCGCATATGCGAAATGTCTGATCACGGAACCACTTCTTTGAATCCTTCATGGGACTGCAGAATTCCTCTCAATGTGAATGATTCAGAGCTTCAGCCAGAGGTGAAGGCCACACCGGTAATAGCAGAATATAAACCATCAGAGATGATTTTCGTAGTTCTGCGCTGCGAGGTGGCTGACTTCATCCGCTGCAGCGCCTTCCATCTTGAGTTCACTAACCCGTGCTTCAACAGAGTAATGGCATCTAGACCTAGCAATATAGAGGAGACACAACAGCTGATAGCCCTAGAAAGGACGATAGAGGAAAAATATCTCGCATCCTGCAATTCAGAGAACCCCCTTCACTATATGACAACATGGACAATACGTGGCTATCTCGCGAAGTATCGTCTCCTGCAGCACTATGCCCTGAGCGCCGAGAAGCAGCCAGATCCACACCATGCCATTGGTATTTCCTATGCTCTACGCATGCTAGAGTGTGATACAAATCTTATGGCCTCGCCACACATTAAAGGGTACCTCTGGCTCGTTCAATTTCACTTCCCTTTCCTTGCTTACATTCACCTCCTTCAAGGCTTAAAAAGATGGCCTATCACGAATCATACAGAGACGGCCTGGAAGGCGATGACAACTAACTATATGCTACGTATAGCGGGCTCAAACCAAGAAGAACACAGGGATTTCTTTCTTGTTTTCTCTCGAATGGTTCTTCGGGCCTGGGAGGCATATGAGTATAGTGCTCAAGAACAAGACAATATACTAACAACTCCAGATATTGTTTTGGATATCAAGGAAAAGATTATACAAATAACGACAAATTTCTTTGGCAATACTGACACGGCGCAGAGTAATAAGTCAAACACTCTTGATGCAAATTATACTTATGAGAAGCTGGGGTTTAATTTGGATTCATTGGAGTATTCCGAGTTAGTCCAATTAAATAGTATAGAGGAGCTTTTAAAAAATAACTAGAGCATGGGGGAAAGCACCAACTACGTCAGGAGATAGAATGGACAATCTAGTTCATAAATCCTATGCTTCTTCGTTATATTTTTTATTATTCCCTCTTTAGTTTCCTTTGTATCAAAACTATCAAAACAATTGAGCCAAAAGAGTGAGCAAATTCTAGTGGCCAGCAGGATTGATGCTATAATTTTGGCACTTCCGATGTGTTTTGCAGTCGTCTTCTCCGGCAATCTTAAATAGTTAATTCTTTAAGATGATTGTCTAAGTCTGGGTACCGCAAATCAACCGAATCAAATATTTGGTGTTGAAATCTAGGAGCTTCATACACTCATGGGTGCAGCCTCTATCTAATATGCATTGATATGCATTTGTAGAGACGAAGGTGTGCTCTACAATCAAATATACCTTTAATATGTGTAGCGAAAGGAGTGCATCTCACGATCTGTCTTATCATCTGCCTCCCTGTCGGTATCTTCTTCTGTGGAATAGCACTCGGCAGGCAAGGGGCTGACAACTTCGCCGATATTATCTCGAGCTTTGTTCTGATAAATGCAGAGCGTCCTATAATGGAATAAATGGTAAGAACGGTGAGCCTCGAAAACCAAGGACAAATGGGAGGGGGGAGCTGACCCGTATATTGCACCGCAAACTGCCATCATTATCAAAGACACAATCATAGCACCTAGTCCTAGCTGGTAATGGGGCTTCTGGCTTTCAAGGAAAAATTGAGGGCCGACTAACCCTCCAATTCCTATTTCACGGAGGTTAGATATATAAAAATTGGTATCCAAGATGTTCGAGGTGAAAATGGGATGAAGTATTACCATGAGCAATGGCAATAGAGGCTGAAACAAAGCTCTTCTTAGTAGCTCCAGCAGTGTTGGAGGATACAAGACTTAGGGCCATAGACCAAGCAATGTTGTAGAACCCGGTTAGATATACCCCCATAAGGGCAGCAATACGGTTCTCTGATACGGAAACATCTTTAAATCTGTGGGTTAGTTGCATTAAAACTAAGATAATGAGAGGTACCTGGAACATACATCGTACTATCACGGTTCCTGCGAGAGAGGGGATGCAGGAGAGCACCCACAGCAAGCAGCGAAGGTTAGGTATGTAGAGTGCTAATAGAGCGGCAATAACTTGCGCTGTGAGCGCAACTGCTCCTTGAGGAGCTGCTAACAAAACAGTTATCTGCTTTGAGTATCCAAATCCAGCAATAATGAGGGGATTGAACTAAGTAATCTAGTGAGTAACCCTTATCCGTATTGTAAAAGGACAGCATCATGGGGCTTTTGTTGGCTCACATTGGTAACTCCAGCGTTAGTAATGGACTGGAATAAAACAAAAGCTACGACGCACCAATACTTTCCGTCTTTCAAGGCTTCAAGGACCTGGGATAATTTCCATTTCTGCCAGATTAGGCAGCATCAGCTTCAAATTTAAATGGATATGCGGCAGTAACTGACCTTGCGTGTATCCTTGCCCGTTTTATTATCAGCAACTCTGAGTTTTGCCTGTTCACGTTCACCTTTGGAAAGGAAGATGGCCTTATCGTGGTTGTCTGGGAGCACTAGAAGACTGATAAAACCAATAGCTATGGTAATTGCACCATAGATTAGGAATATCAACTGACAACAAGACGTGTTAAAAGAGTTATGTCATTTAAAAAGAATTGGTATCCTGCCATATATACCTTCCATGTAGGTATTTGTGCTCGAAGAGTTCCAATCGCATATGCAAGAATACCACCAAACATCTAGATTGCATCAGTTTTTGGAAGTTAGCCATTGGTGTTGTACCGTGACCAGAAAAAACCCCAAGGACATACACTGGACCAGGGGCCGAAGCATAATGCAGCACGCAGTGGTTGCTCTTCACGCCGATACCAAGTGGACATGATGACGATAACCGACGGCAGCATGGCTGATTCCAGGGCTCCAAGGAGAAACCTGACGGCGGCAGCGCTTGCAAAATTGGTACATGCTGCCATTGCACACCCGCATGCACCCCATAAAATTAAAGAGGCGCCCACATACTTGCCAATAGGCAGTCGAGTAAGTAGCCATGATGTTGGAAACTCGGCAAACAGGTATGCAATATTGAAGATGGAACCGAGCCATGAATACTGTTGGCCATGGAGATTTAGGTCCTGGTTCATCCCCAGGACAGCAGCAAAAGCGAGCGCATTCTGTGAACGGTTTAGCAACTCTTCTTTCACCAACGCTTGGGTCAATCAAACCTTGTCTAGACCCGCGAGTAGCAGGGATAGAATCAACAGCGGCAGCACACAAAGGTCAACCTTGGTCAGAATAGGCAAGACGGCCATTTCATAAAAATCGGCAGAAACTTGAATGTTTCTTCATCTACGGAAGAAACATATCAAGCATTGTGATAGAGCTTGTAATGTGTCAATACAAGACAATATAAAGCAACTCTTTGCATGGTTGACAGGCCTTTGCATGGCTGGGGGTGGAGAAGGCCCAACTGTCCTCATGACCGGCTTAAATCGCAGATCCGGGGATGAGGGGCGTAGTATCCCGCGCTGGCACAGGGATTGTTGGTTCGGTTGACAGTGGTTTCAGAGGACTTATCACCATGACATCCCCTACAGGACCGACGGTCAAGCCACGCAAAGGATACCTGTTACCTCGCTATGGGGTACTCGGGTATAGTCATTCGTGGAAAACCAAGCACTTTGCTCTGGCATGATTCAGGATGGGACAGTACCACCGATCTCTTATTTGCTACTTGATGTTGAGGCGGATGTTGGAGGAGTGAAAGAGAATATGCTGACGACGGGTTTCCCACTATTCGTTAGTGCTTTTGACCAGCATTCTGTACTTTGCTTTAATAGCTGCATCTCCAGGTTTTTTCTCGACACGAGGGCCATCGCCTTTTCAGGGGTTTGTTAACTACAGTTATGTAAGACCGTCCCGTCCCGGATGTGCTTCCGGGAATTACAGAAAGAAGTTGGAGCCGTGGACCAAAGGAGAGAAGGGGGTGTCTTTAAGGGTAAAGATTTAAAAGTATTACCCTTATAAATAGTGTTATTTATCGTAACTACCTTTATTACTATTGGCCGCGTGGCATTAGCTAGTCATGTTAACAACGAAGTTTAATTAGCTGGTTACATAAGCGACGCGTTACTCTGACTCGCTAACTAGTCCCGATGGAGCAATTCTGGACTTCAACTCTACAACTTCACTTCACCAACGTTCTTCATGCGACGACAACTGAGACTGTTTTTATCAGTACTTAGCCTGCTGCCTTTCTTCAATTGAATGAGATAGTTACCCTATTTAGGCAGAATATGACAATTGTTGCGCTAGGAGAGTCCACTGTCAGGGCTATCGGCTCAACGTCCGCTCTGCCCGACCCTTCGTCAGTGGTCAAAGAGCTTCTTGACAACGCTCTAGATGCCGGAGCTACTTCAGTTCTCGTTGAGATTTCTGTTAATACCCTGGATATTATCCAATTGAAGGACAATGGATCTGGGATACTACCGAGTGATCGCTCATTTGCTTGCAAGCGGAACTATACCAGCAAAATACAAACAAAGGAAGATCTCTGCAGAGTTGGCGGCAAGACTTTAGGATTCCGTGGGCAAGCTTTAGCCAGCATTGCCGAAATGAGCAATTCCGTGTGTATTATAACACGTGTCCCTGAGGAACAAGTTGCAAAAACAGTAAAATTTGGGCGGGACGGGACGCCCTTAAGGTAAGTCGGTGCATTGATGCTATTCTAATTCTTTAATCCCGTGCATATAAGATATCAATCCTGTTGTTGAAAGGTTGTTTCCGCTTAGTTTTTGTTCGGACGGCATGTAACTACCTTCCCATCCTATCAACTTGCGCAGGAATTGCTCACTGTCCTTAGCCCAAATGAGTAGTTATTCAGGTGATGCTATCCTATGCACCTTTACTTATAGCCTTGTTATATTACTAGTGACACTCCTACCTCTCATCCAGTTGGAACGACTGTCTGTGTCTGCGATTTTCTAAAGCCTTTACCAGTTAGGCGACAAGAAGTTGAGAAAACATCGGCCAAGTGCATACTTACTATAAAAAAACTCCTTCAAAGATATGTAATAGCAAGACCGAGGACGCGTTTGTCCTTGAGACTATTGAAGTCTAGAGATAAGGACTGGATTTATGCCCCCAGTACGAATCCCTCCGTTTGTGATGCAATTTCCAAGGTTATTGGTTCTGCTGTAGTTTCCAGCTGTATTTCCAATAATTCTGTCTATCCTATTTTGGGAGAGGAAAGCGGCTCAGACTCTGTGGTAAACCACAATACTCCTATTATTCACATGTCTGTTATTGTACCCAAGCCTTTCGCAGGTAAGTGGGACCCCTACCTAGAAACGTAACTTTGCTAATACCTGTAGAATGTGTACCCAACATTAACTACAAAGGACAATTTGTAGTTATTGATGGCCGCCCACTCCTAACTTCTAGGGGCTTTGGCAGGGAGGTGGTTAAGCTTTTCAAATCCTGTTACAAACAAACCATGGATAGGCCCAAACTTGAAGACCCCTTCTTGTTCTTATCCTTGAGCTGTCCGCCTGGAATATATGATATCAGTATTGAACCTTCTAAGGATGATATCCTGTTTGAAGATCATCAGGCGGTCCTCCATGTAATCGAGCGTGCTTTCAAGGATATATACAAGCCAGAGACTCTTACAGTTATATCCAATCCTGATACCCGCCAGGGTCGTCCCGGTAACCAGTCAGTTGTCGGTATTAGTAGTCCGGGATCTACCTCAAACGGCAGTAATCTGCCTTCTACCAACAAATCTTCCTCTGCTGTTAACCCATGGACACTGTCTGTTGCTGCCCAGCGACTTCAAGATCCGGAATCTCAACTTTTAACCCCACGGCGGGAACCTCAAATTACACTGAATATCATACCCCTGGGCAGTTCAAACGATAAGGCAAAAAGTAGCAGAGCCTCCATGAGGCAAACAACACTTAGCCTGAATGATTGTGGCAGGGTGTCACTATTTGAAAAACGAAACCCACAGCCAAGAAGCAATGGCTCACTTCGAAGGGGCACTGCATTGAAGGTACCCACAGCCAATACCCTGCATGGTATTGACTCTTTCTTACAGACCCCTGGGAAAAACCCAACCAGGAACATTCGTGCAGCGTGTATAGTGCAATCTCCTCCCCAAAAATCTCCTCCCCAAACATCTCCTCCTTCGAGATTTCACCCAGTGACCAAAAGCTGCCAGGCATCTATGGCTATTTTTTCTCCAAACCCTCAATATCCAACACGCCCAATCCCACGCTCTATGAGCGGGCAGTTACATTACAATAAGAGTAATGACCGTGGAGACCCAGGTTCTTGCCAATTACGCCCGATAAACAAGTCAACTATCCCTTCCGGTTCATATCTACACACATATCCGTCCAACCCTAGCTTCGTGCCTAGATTTGAACTTGATTTAGACAGAATTAACGATCAGAATAACTGTTCCAACAACCTGAATACCGGCATATGTACCAACGTTATCCAAGATCAAGGAAGTCGAACTCCTATGGAATGCATGCCATCCATTGATCCAGCGTATGAAACAACGATCCGGAATGGTGGCGAAATTACACAACTGGCAGACGCAGTTAAACGACTAGTTGATACAGATCAATATGTGAAGTCAGGGTCTCTCACGGAAGCATTCTCGCAAGTTGATTCAACAAGTAACATTAACTACTGGACCAACAGGCTTCATACCCTAGCGAGAGACTCCTCATTCCAAAGCCGATTAAGGCAATTATCGTTTTTAACTTCAGTCATCCCTTTCAAGTAAAGGTTATATCAAGCCTATGCATAGCATTGTTATATACAGGCCCATGGCACTCAGCAAGATTATCGAGGCACATTTAGCAAGGCTGTAGAATTTAATACGCAAAACATATTGTAAGAATCTTTCCGCCACGTTGCGATTGTTGATCCCTGGCCATAAAAATAGGTTTACTATGGGCATGTCATTCTTCCCATAAGCTAAGCACCATTTATCCCTCTAATTTCTCTATTCTAAGATAGATTCTGCAACTAGTTATTGCGCGCTTTGGCAGCAAAAGACACGTTATTTTGTGACTAACAAATCGGGGAAATTGGACAAAGGAGAACGTATAGTAGGAGGCATTACTTATCCCGAGTTACTTTGCTACTATGGGTGCTGGCTAAAGGCGCTGTTTACTGACTGGGGGATTTTCCGGATATGCAGGGGTGTAATGAACACTTGACTGCGATCGATCGGCCAAACTTGATCCTAGTCTGGGGGTGGCGCAGAGGTCTCATAGATAAACCCGCGATTCCCCGCAGGTCTTTGAACAAACATAACGACAAAACTCCAGGTTCTGGGTCCATCAGGCCGTACCTTCTACTACCGCCTCATTAACTCCCCAATATGAGGTCGTTGGCGTTGACGATTTCATCTTTTCTCTTAACCGCTCTAATATGCGCTGCGGCCGACATTGGATTTCTGGTTCCTCCCAGCGCTGGTATTAACAACAACTTCCGCGACAACCCGCAGTATCAAACCGGCGAGATAATAAACATAACATGGGCAATCGATTCTCTTGCGGTGGACTTATTACTCGTGATACAGCTACCTAACGAAGCTGATACTCCAGCGGAAAAATATGACGATATAACCCTTCAGAGTAAGGAATAGTTGTTTGGCCTATGAAACCCATCTCTTTGAATTCAGGCTAAATAAAAAACCGGTAGGACTCTTCCCAGAAAAGTACTATCGTTGGGTAGTTGATCTCGAGGGATTTGATACAGCAAAACGGGTTCTAGACGACAAAGGCCAGGTCGTACTATTCTTCCTCATTTCCGAGCCAGGCCAGGGACAAAACTATACCATTCGCTCTCATTACTTTAACGTGACGAATCCTGCCTCCACCACAGCTTCGCCTACGACAATGCAATCAACACCAGCTACAATCCCCATATCAACTGCCACCACCACTACACCCCCTCGGGAGGATTCTGTTACTGCAAAGTCGCCTTCTGCTGCAGTGATCGGGGGAGCTGTGGGTGGATCCATAGGTGGTCTTCTCGTTCTAGCGGGGCTTGCTTACTTCGTTTGGCGGCACTTTCGAAATAGGAAAACTATACCAGGCGCAGGCGGGTCAATAATGCATAACCGTACCTCACAGATGACAATGCAGAAGCATGAAGGATGGAGAAGATCCGAGTTGGATAGCTCGCCACCACCGGCCATATACGAAGTTCCATGATTTGAGTAGTTAGGAGGCTTAATTGAGCATATATCTTCTCTCCTTGCTTTTCGCCTATCAAACAGCCTTGAGTAGTTAACCACTTCTAAAACAGTCGCCGTTCTGGTAGTTAAACAATGGCTAGAGTTAGAGTTACGGGAACACTAGTTAACTGTAACTGTAACTTGCACAAGCCAAACAAACGCCACGGGCTGAGCTCGGGCCTTGCCGAGAAACCAGAGACTTTAAATAGATCTTCTATCTTGTCGCCTGAACGACGCGTTAAGCTCGTTCGTTTTGCCCGTTGTATATCCTAGATCTACGCAATATTGTACGCATGTGGTACATTTATATGCAGGTTAACTGCTAGTTATGGCCCGCCGTCCGCTTGCCCCCTGGCGCCTGGTGTCTAAGGGCCTAACAATAGCGCTGGGGGCAGTGCTAGCCAATTGGCCAACAGGCCTGGCGGCTAACTCACGTCGTCATACTCCATAGGAATCCTTCCTGTCATGCGAAGGAAGGATGGGGCCTATTTCAACGAGATGCGCCGCCGCTTTCCGGCTGTCGACTGTTTCGCCCTGGGTCTGCTATCAACATCTGCCATTTCACAATGAGGCGGAATAGCATTGTCGTGCCAATACGCTCGTCTCGACGACGTATTCACCTGCTACTTGCACTCTTACTGACAACTGCTATCTACTTCTGCCTCCCATATCTGGCTCCGTCGTCACCTGCCTTGAAGACTGAGACACTTCTCCGCCCGGGCCCTGGTGGTAATGGCCATGGTGTCAACAATCATGGCCATGACTCGAGCAGTGCGAAGCCGTCCATTCCACTTATCAAGCATGACGATAATACCGTTGAGGTAGTGGTAGCTAGCATGAAGCGTGAAAACGTTACATGGCTGCATGATTACCTCCCGAAGTGGAAGAAGAACATATACGTTGTGGACAACCGCAGCGCTGAGTTGACCGTTCCCGAAAACAAGGGAAGGGAAGCCATGGTGTTCTTAACGTGAGTTCAGTTACCGTTGCCCATCAGTGATAGCAAATGGTAGCGAGCATATTCTAACATTCAAGTTTAGATATATCATTGATCGCTACGATTCGCTTCCTGCGAACATCTTCTTTCACCATGCAGAAAGATTCCAATGGCACAATGATAACCCCGACTACGATGCGCTGGCACTCCTTCAACGATTCCGCCTCGACTACCTTAAAGAAGAAGGATACGCCAATCTCCGCTGCGACTGGGCTCTGGGCTGTCCATCGGCAATAAAACCGTTCATTGATGCCACTCAAACAACCGCCGGTGAAGGTATTACGTCGAAACATGTATATAAGCAGGCCTTTGAAGAGCTATTCCCCGGCGAAAGCGTTCCAGAGACTGTTGCCGTTGCATGCTGCTCCCAGTTTGCAGTTCGGAGGACAACTATCCAACGCCGTTCTAAGGCAGAATATATTCGTTATCGCAAATGGTTACTTGAATCAGATCTTGATGATGGGCTCAGCGGACGGGTATTGGAATATGCGTGGCATAGTAAGTTTAACCCAAGTGAACCTGAAAAGCTATAGACTGATGGTTTTTTTCCCTTTGATAGTAATATTTGGCAAGAAGGCCGTTCACTGTCCTGATGCCGGAATGTGTTATTGCAGGATGTACGGGCTGTGCGATATTAAATGCGATGAAACGCACTGTGAGGGGCAGTATACCCTTCCTAAATATTCGAGTCTTCCGCATGGCTGGCCAAAGGTAGGCTGGGACGGAGAGGATAGACACTGGTCAGGCCTGGAATGAACAACGAAATCATTGGCGGGGCATGCATACATAATTCGGTATAGAATGGCGTTGGGTAGAGGTTATTTGGGCGGACTTTTGTTAGTTTTTTTTTTTTTTGAAACAGCGTTGGAGCCAAATTCATGGTATAGCTGATCAAAGGTAGAGATCAATTAATCAATAATTGTGTATAACGATTTAGCTCAAGCCAGCCACGCTCCGTGTCTTCGATGTAGGAGCTGTCGGGGTAAGTGATGGCAACATCAAAACCAATCCACATCACTCTTTCTGGGCTAATAGGAACGATCAGAACGCTCTTGGGTAAGGGTCCAACGGAAGGGATACTGATCATCCGTAAGGTTGGGCCCTAGTCCTGTCTCCTGTGAAGAGATACCAGAGGGAGCCACGCTGAGATAGTCCTGGAGATATTGCATGCTGTGGCTGCAGGGTATCAAAGATCAAAGTGGAATATACCTATAAATACGGCTCTGGAGTGAGTGAAGATGGCTCGAATGTTATGGCTGTCTTCACCACGGAAAAAGGGGCTTGCAGCAGTCCATAATGTTTGCAATCACATTTTTGGCCATGATCTGCTTCCTTACTGTGACGGACAGAGACTGCCACTCGCTGTGGACATGGCGATATTTCGGTCTTATATCCAGAGCGAAAGCAAGCCCACAAATGCTTGTGAAGGCGGATAAAAAGTCCGACGTGGATGTTTCTTTTTTTCGTTTCTTCTTCTCCTTTTCGCCTCGGGAGCTTCAGGGCCAAACAAACATCTGACCGGCTTATCTTCTGGACGACAGGGCAGGCATTTGACACATGAGAGAGACTGCGAGACTTAAGCGACCTGAAGAGACTCGGTCACAGGCCGTCGGGGGCGGCTGGATACCGCATAGAGTTGTCGCCCTAAGGAAAGATACGAGGCCACAGAGAAATATAAAGGGATAAGGAGCACCCGGAACATCCTGCCCAGATACCAGCTTTCTCTCTTTCTCTGAAATCTCTCTCTCTCTCTCTTATTTCTCCTGTTTCTTTCGTGTCTACCATGACGGTGGCGGCTTCACGACCAACCCAGCCAGCCCCAGGGACGGCGCAGGCCCCCATGGAGAGACAGTGGATGCAGCCCTCGCACCCTTCGGCCATCCGTGTCGTCTCGTCCAGGCTGCTGCTCAGCTCCGGCGCAGACGAGAAAGCCGCCTCCTTCTGCCTGGCAGCCGTGGCAGACCATGATATCCCAGCAGACAGCCTGGTAGCCCGCAACACGTCCACCACGCTGGCCGCCGTCAAGGCCTACTCGACCGTCCAGGTGTCCAGGGACAGACACATCGAGCTCAACTCAGACCTGCTGTACTGCAACCACTCGTGCGACCCCAACGTCCGCTTCGTCACCTCGACGCTGGCCATGGACGGCCACAGCGGCCAGGCAGATGCACCCGTCTCGGGAGCGCTGGAGGTCTGGAGCACCAGGGCGATCCCGGCCGGCGAGGAGCTCAGGTTCTTCTATCCCAGCACCGAGTGGGAGATGTCGCAGCCCTTCCGCTGCTCCTGCGGCGCTGCGCAGTGTCTGGGCTGGGTCGACGGCGCGAAGAAGACGCCCGCTGAGGTGCTGCGCAGATACTGGCTGAGCGACCACATCCGGGCCCTTCTGGAGGAGAGAGAGGACCGTTAGCAAGCATGTTGTATCAAAAGTTATCCAAAGACTCCTTCTATAGACAGAATGGTAGCAATATCATCGCTATTATTGTTATTATCATCATCGTTATATCAGTTGCCGTGACATCATCATCCCTCGCTCATCCTGGCGTAGATCGACCTTCACTCTTTTTATATGGTATTTTTCTCTCAAACCCACCACCAAATTATTAGTTACCACCAGACGCTTCCATCAACGCTGGCCAAGGGAGGAATTGACTGTCTATATCCCAGAATCAGCATCACTCACTGCTATTCATACTACGTACGGCGAATAGTTATAGACCAGGACGAGACGACATCCGCCCGCCGCCGCTCAACGCCCCGCCATGGCTCCCATCCCGATCACCATCGTTACGGGCTTCCTGGGCTCGGGCAAGACTACGATCCTGCTCAACCTGATCCCCCAGCTGCCGCCGACCTACCGTCTCGCCCTGCTGAAAAACGAGTTCGGCGATGTTGCGGTCGACTCGCAGCTGGCGGCCGCAAACTCCATCTCCGGCGTACGCGAGCTGCTCAACGGCTGCATCTGCTGCAACCTCGTCGGCCAGCTCGGCGATGCGCTCGTCCAGCTGCGCGAGGAAGTCAAGCCGGACCGTATTATCATCGAGACCAGCGGCAGCGCCTTTCCAGCCACCCTGGCGATGGAGGTGAATCGCGTCTCGAGCGAGCACAAGGGGGAGTTTATGCTCGACGGCGTCGTGGCGGTCATCGACGTCGAGAACTGGGAGGGCTACGACGACACCTCGTACACGGCCAAGCTACAGGCGCGATACACCGATCTGATCGTGTTCAATAAATGGGAGCTGGTCTCGGAGCGGCGGTTTGATATCTGTCTCGACCGCGTGGGAGACTTGGACGTGCAGACCGCCTGGGTCAAGTCGGACAAGGGAAGAGTCGACAAGGACGTCCTCTTGGGCATCGACGGAGCTCTGCTGGCGAAGATGGGCAGCTCGACGGAGCACCAGGATGCCTTGGGTGTCCCTAACCATGACCATGACCACGGCCATTCCCATTCCCACCAGTCCGAGGTCGAGGTGCTGTCCGTCTCGCTCGCCGGAGACGCAGTCGTCGACTCAGAAGCCTTCACGGCCTTCCTGCAGTCCTCCCCCAAGGATGAAATCTACCGCATAAAGGGGATAGTTCAGTTTGCCTCCGATCAGATTCCAGCAGACTCGTCGGGTGAAGTGACTGCTGCCTGCTCTGATTCACCGGTGCAGACGTCCATCCTCAACTGGGCCTTTGGACGGTGGACTCTCACCCCTTCTCCATCTCCATCCCCATCCCCATCCCCATCCCCGTCCCTATCCCCATCCACGGCCACAGAAACATCTCCGGTCGCCAGGCTGACCATGATCCTTGCGCGGTATGAAGCTGCCAAGTGGAAGAGGAAGCTCGAGGGAGGAAACTTGGTGAAGGCGGCTGGCCCTGCCCCTGCCACGACTTCTCTGCAGGTCGACATCATTGGCTAAGGCCGGAGGAAAAGAAACGACACGTACATATCAATTATGGCTTGCATGCATGATGAGATGAGACATGACGACATAGATCAAACTATAGAGAGAGATCTCCCTTCGATATAACAAACTTATAGTGTTTAGATAGACTTGATACTCGATACTGTTACTACTACTGATGAACCAAGCTCAAATGCCGAAATGGCAGTTATTTTTTATTATTATTTTTAGAAAAAGAGCAAAACTAACTAACCAGTGAATATTCTCTCTTTCTCTCTTTCTTAGTCTTCCTGTGTCTTCTTCTGTAACCAAATCACTATCTTTAATAGAAATTCACTAAGCAAACAAAATCCGAAATCTTTTATCCTTTCACCCCATTTTGATTGAATAACACTTCTACCGCCGAAAATAGAATATAAAAAAAACACTTCTTGCTTGTCGTTGTTAATGGCGTTAATAGCCTAGAAGCGCCGCCGCACCTGGCTCAGTGACAATATAGATGACCTCATGCTTGTCTGTGAATCCGTTAAAACGCGTAGCACTGCACTGAGTGTAGGCTCCCATGTTCTCAAAGTAGAGCCAGTTGCCTACGCCAAGGAGGCCATTCAGAGTGATGCGCTTGCTGATGACGTCAATACCATCGCAGGTTGGGCCCCAGATAGAGTACTCGATGGGTGCAGAGGTGTAGTCGTCGTCCTTGGTCAGGATCTGAGCAACTGGATGCTGGTGATCGAAGACAATGTTCGAGAAGTTGCCGTACACGCCATCGTTCAGGTAGATCATGTAAGCACCGCTGGAAGTAGGAGTGGACGCGCGGCTAGGGCTGGCGGAGTCTGACTCGGAGTCGGACAGCGGCTCTTCGGCGCCAACGTCGCGACGGGCGATGACGTTGGCAGCCAGAGTGAACGCGGTGGCCACGTAGTAACGTCCCGGCTCGGCGATGACTCGAATGTGCGGCGGGAAGTAGGTGTCCAGCGCTTCCCCAAGCGCAGCAGCGAAGGGCTCGAAGGTGTCGTCAGAAAATCCACCCCCGACATCGAGAACCTTCAGGTCGAATCCGATTTCCGCAGCACGGTCGAAGACGAAGCGAGCATCCTGGACAGCCTTGATGAACGACTTGGGGTCCTCGGCTCCGGAGCCGACGTGGAAGCTGACGCCAACGACATTAAGCCCCAGTGTATGAGCAAGTTCAAGGAGCGGGCGCGCTGAGGAGAGCGAAGCACCAAACTTCATGCTCAGACGGCACAAGCTGGCGGAGTCGTCGGTCAAGATACGCAGATAGAGCTCCGCATCCGGGCACATGTCTTTGATTTTGTAGAGCTCGTCGGTGTTGTCAAAGGTCATCTGCTTGACACCAATCTGGGATGCATAGCGCAGGTACGACTTGGTCTTGCATGGATGAGCGTAGATGATGCGACTCGGGTCAACACCGGCAGCGAGAGCAAGGTCGATTTCGGCTTTGGATGCACAGTCAAAGCCATTACCCAAAACGGCCATGAGACGGAGGACCTGAGGGTTTGGGTTGCATTTCACAGCTATGACGAAATTTAGTTATGCATAAAGAAAAAGGAATGTAAGATGCAGAAAAAGGAAAGAGAGAGAAGATGGGGGAAAAAAGAAAACATACCATAGAAAGGCTTGACGCGAGGAAGGTTGGTCTTCCAGCGGATATGCTGGCGATAGATTTCTCCGAGATCAGCAACGTAGAACGGGTCCTCTTCTCCAGGGTAGCAGGTCTTGGTGTCGACAGCAGCAGCCTTGTTCTTCAGGATGTCGACGACAAGCTGTCTGGACGCGGCTCTGGCTTCAGCCAAGTGGGATTTGCCGCGAGTTTCATCGTCTGGACATTCGACATGTTTAAATTTGTCATGCACATTATCATTGAAATAAAGTCTTGGGAGGTCGCTAGCCGAAGGTGCCATAACCATCAATGCGTCTTTTTCGGGGACTGGTATGGCCGTGTAGTTTGAATATCAGGTATAGGTGGGAGTACCACGTGTTAGGGAGGTCTGAATGGATCGCAACCTTCGCTCACTGGACTTAGCCTCCGCGACTCTTCCTCTGGAAGAGGAAGAACCCGTTGAGAAGTCCTATGCGGCAGCTCAAGGGTTTCGGAATTGGCAGGGGTGTAGAGGACGTCTACCAAGCGCAAAGATGGAGAGCTTTGGAAGTTGTCCTTCAGAAGATGGAGAGACTTAAGAAGTCCGGTGAAAAGGGTTGATTGAAACAACGTATGAAGCTGGAGTGGCGAGGACACGGTCGATCAAGGTGCCTTTGGGAGAGAGACCCCAAAGGCGGTTTTGTGGTTGAGAGAGGATATTTATATCCTGCCAGCGAGGAGACGAGGTTAGCTAACGGATCCGAGTGAATGCAACGACTGTGAATATGGCGAGGACGGCGGAGAACGATGGACTCGATCGAGGTGAATTGGTCGAGGCAGAGCCATGATGGTGACGGTGACGTGACGATATCTGGGGGGGCAAAGGTCAGCGAAGAGCTCACCTCTCAGGCAAAGGCCAAGATCAGGCTGTCTGCAGTAGACAGGACAGAGAAGAGCACAGCTGAGCGTGAGAGCAAGAGTCAGAACCGCCAGTCGACGAGGAGCGAGGCCGTAATTTATAGCAGCGGGCGAAGATGAGGTGACGAAGAAGGAGAAAGTCGAAGGGAGAAAAAAAAAATCGGACTTTGGTGGTGGGCAGTTGTGTGCCTTAGTCAGCAAGAGCTAGTCAGTTAGCTAGCTTTGCCCGGGTTTTGCATGTTTGCAGCAGCCAAAAGGGGGACGCAGCAGGAAGCCACAAAACGAGGGATGGAGCAGGAAGGAAAAAGCAGTTCAGGGAGCAGAGAGGGAGACCCTCGTCCATGCATGCAGGCTCCTTGCTTTTTCCCACTCTCTCGTTCATTTTCATTTCATGCTGGCCGTTGCGGAGGTGGCTGAGAGGGTGATCTGTCCCATGCTTCGTTACCGTAACGCCGTGGGATGCAAAAAAACGAAAAGAAAAGAAAAGAAAGCCCACGAATCCTCGTCGAGGCTGCAGACCGTAACTAAAGTTGTATGAGGCATATGTTGGCCGGCAAGACGGTGAGCGCGAGGGTGGTGATGGCGATGGCGATGAGAGGGGAAGCCGAAGCCAGGACCCGTCGGGGATGGATATCCTTGTGTTGCCGGTTCCTTTCTGTGACTCGTTGGTACGGAGTACACGCAAGGAGGAGATCGGGCTTTCAGATCCATAATTTTGCACTGTAGCTGCTGTTGGGAAATTGGTGGTAAGCATATAGAAGATCCTTTTTGTTTTGTCCACTGTGGGTGTTATCCATATTTGGACTCCGGCTGAACAGCCCAAAAGCAAGCGTCGTCCTTAAGGCAGACGATGTCATAGTAACCAGGGTGCCTTCAGCTGGCCTTGTTTCGCTGGCCGTGTAATCTTCAGAACGGAAGCCATCTGTGGAAGAAATCCATAGAACAAATTATGGAGTCCCGGGGATTGAAAGCTGAAGCTTGGAAGAGCAACGAGTTGATAGGAAGCGGAAGATATGACCAGACCCCTAACAACTATCGCATTGATCGATTACCGAAAAAGCAAGTGATGGAATTAAGAGACTGATTCTTGCCCACGAAGTGCATCCTAAGTTGTGTTTAAGGAATAAGAGGCCAGTTATTGATGGAGTAGAAAATGTTCATATCGAGGGAGACGCATTCATCGTAGAGAGGGAGAAGATAATCGAAAACAGTATATCTCGATATCTACCGCTTCGGGATGGTCGTCTGAACAGATACTAGGTAACTGGATGCGAGTCTTGTCGCAAACGTCCAGCCTCGCACGCTGCATAAGCTCGAAAAAGACGGCCTCGCTCTCATGACGTCTTTTGAGTGCTACGATGATGGCAGCCCGAGGCGACCGGTTGATCAGCGCAGCCATGGTGTCGACGAGAGCTGGCAGGCTGTCCGAGTTGTACGTACAGTCGGATACAACAATTAGGTCATACTGCTGCTCTGAGATCCTGCTAGGGATGCTCATCTCCCAGTCGAGGACTTGGAAGTCGATCTTAGAGCCCGCCGCTGGGTTGGACACGTTGATGTTACGGGTAACGATGTCGCGGACCTCTTCAAGGTCAGTCAACACGACCAAGCAGTCCATCAACGACTGGGCTAGGGCGATTCCGACAATACCACAACCCGCTCCCAGTTCAATTACATTGAAATGCGACTTGTCTTTGCGTCGAATCAAGTCTTTAAACACGAGAAACGGAGACGTAGCCTGACTATCGTCACCGCCACCAGCATTAACCGGAGCAAGTGTCTCTTGAAAGAGCATCAGCCATGCGAGCGAGGCATCCCTGTACAAGTTAGATAGAGCCATTAAATAAATAATGCATAAGAAAAGAGAAGATGAATACAAGAAGAGGACGGAGGTTGGCAGTTGATAATGGAATCTTCGAAATCCTACTGATAGCTAGAATCCCCAGTAACCGTCTTCTTCTTCTTCATCGTCATCATCACCACGACCCTCCTTGTCAACATGGAGACAGGCTACCACTATCGTTGTCATGGTCGTATGTCCTGTCTGCGCCCTACGTACCAGATATGTCTTGCGAGATTGTTGCCAGTCTCTTCCCATATCCGCACCTCAGCAGGACATCTAGTCCTGAACCATCTGAGAGCCAGCTTGTCAGCCTGAGGAGACCCTGAACCACCAAAAGGCGGACTCCATGCTGATATCACCATTGGAATAGCTGACGAGACAGCAAAGTCATCGTCTGGCCCAGGTTGATGTCCATGGTCTGCAAGCCCTATATGCAACTGCAGGCCGTGCCGCCGCAGATCCAGCTTGAGACCATCAATGGCTATCAACACTTGACGGGAGCCAGCCGTCCAAGTAAAGTTCTTCTGTTTTATGCACCGCATACCGTGTCTGCCATTATTGAGGCTGCCGTCGTCGTCGTCAACACGCAGCACTGAGGCCGTGAGCTCAACCTCCTCCGCGAGGAACGAGTCTCCCAGGTCAGTTGTCAGTGTGACCAGTGTTTTGATGCTGCTCGCCTCTATCCTCGGCGGTTTCAAAAACCTTACATAGTGAGGCATCTTTCATCCCGTCTTTTGGCCTTCGTCTTCTCGTCGTTGCGAGCTGTTGTTGTTGTTAAACGTTGTTGTTGCGGCTTTTGCTTCGTTTGTTTCGAGAGAAAAAGGAGCGTGCTTATATAATCAAGGCTGGCCAACCCCCCAACATGGCGCTTTTACTTTGACGTCGAGATATCTAAGCACAACAACTAGAAACTGCCCTGTTTATGACTTCCTCGACGGCTGTTTATGAGATGTGTATTCGCATGCGAAGTCATTCACCCGACTGATTGCCTCGGAATGCTTGATACCGGCACCTTGAAATTATACGACAACACCTAGGATGCCCCCAGCATAGGCGACTCTTCGTTGGGCCGCCGGTCGTATATACCACATCAACACCCACCGTCGGACAGCCAGCGTTTTTTAAGGCCCAAGGGGCGCCTAAACAAGCTATCCTACAGTATCGACTATTCATATCCGCCCATCATGCGCCCAGGAGACCCCCGTATTCGCCAGACTATCAACCAGATCTCGCAGAACCTCGAATCCGCCAACGAGTCCGCACAGGAAGGGATATACGCCTTTGCCCACCACTACATCGAGCCGTGCTTCCTAAGCGTACAGGAGTGCTTTACTTCTTGTACTGCTCCCTGTTTCCCCAGCCGCGATGACCAGCTGCGTCGACGGCGACGAGAACGCTCCAATGGCCGTGCGGAGTTTACTTTTGGTTTCTACGATGATTGGGACTACGATGAGGATGCGCGCGAAGATGGACTACTAGGCTGGCGGAATGATGAGCTTGACAGGCTTCTGGCTGGCAGCAGCTCTGCGCGCACATCCAATGACCAGCCGCGCATGAACAGGCGGATGAGTTACGGCGCACGGCGGAGGGGTTCTATCCTACCCAGCGACGAGCGGCAAGATCCAACAGTTATCCCGAGCTCGTCCATCCTTGGATTTCTCGAGCGATTTCCCTGGAGGATAGGCGCAAGAGGCATTCGATATCGTCCGTCTGCCGCCAATTTACAAGATAATCCCGGCGGTTTGAAGCGTGATGTACAGGAACAAGCGCCATTACTAGAAGCCAGCGACGAAAGTGACCATTCAGGAGGCGGAAACAAGGACAGCAATCAGAATTATAAAGCAGAATTTCATCCGAGGAAGCGCCGTGGTACCCAGTCATCTCATGCTACTAGCAATTCTCTCAGTTCCCGCGGTGACCTCATTCACAGTGACGAAGAGGGAAGATGCTGTTCCTTTAGATGACGAAATCAATATAATGACACTCGGGCGTCGCCGCAGTAGTCTTGGCGGTGGTGATGAGTCTGTCTTTTCTATTCCACATTCCATCTCTGCCTCGACGAAGGAGACACCTTCCTCTCAAGCCTCACGCACGAGCAAAGGCAAAGGCAAGCGAAGGAGGAGAGACAGAGACTCGAAACGGCGCCGTACAATGTCTAAATCATCACATTCAACCTCCTGAGCTAGATAGCAGCATTATGATTGAACCGGCGGTTGACGGAGCTTCGTTAACTGACCTAAAGAGAGAGGAAGATGAGGCTCGGCTAGAGGAAGAAAAGCCCATAGAAAGGAGTCGGCTAGCTGCACGGGACCTTGCTAGAGAGAACGGACTAAAGCTAACCGACTCTGCTACAGAGGTGAGA